TTCTTAGCATTACAACATTTAAAATGTTTTTGATTGAAATGAATGAAATACCAGCTATTTTTACCAGCACTGTACAACTGCACTTCTACAAAAACTGCTTGAAATGACTACACCTCATCTCTAGGAAAGCAATGCCTTTTGTCTGATTGCTGTAATGGATAATAGGGAGACACATGCCAAGAAGAAATAATGGTTGTAACCAGATTACATGTAAAGAATCAAATAACTGCAGTGCATTTATTAGACAATGGGAAGTAAAAAAGCTTCACCCTCTATGTAGATCTCTGCAGAAGTGGAATCTGTGCCATAGAAGTTGGAGGCAAAGCAAGAGTAGCGTCCAGTGTCCTCCTCAAATGCCTCGGTAATGATCAGGGAGTGCAGCTCCCCATCATTGAGAATCTGAATGTCAGGACTGTTCTCTAACTCCTTACCCTCACAGAACCACCTACAAGACAAACACAGGGACTCTGTGACCCTCGGTGACTGAGTAATAGTCATCATAATCAGCAATGAATAGGCTCATTTCTGAACTGTGGGGCCTCCTGTGTGGACTTTTCATGTTGTATGTGGGTGAGTTTTCTCCCTTCTTCCAAAGATGTACTGGTTAAGTCAATTGGCATACATCTCAAGAAACAATATATGAAACACAAATCTACATTATGCAAAAGACACCTTTCTTCTGGGCCTTCTCTAGTTTTCCCCAGTCAGTCAAATGAAACACAGGATACACATGAGCCTCCAAGGATGATGAGAAATTAATAATCTTCACAGAAAGCTTCTAACTTCACATTTGAGAGAGTTTTGTGTTGCAGACTCAGGAGCTGGATCACCAAACCTATTGAATAATAACAAAGCTTTTCCATATGTAAACCATTTTACAGCATAGCATTTCATATGGTTATTGTAATAATAATAATTTTATTATTACACCTGTATGTAAAAAACTCCTTTTGAAAGTCACCCAAACATTAAACAAACAATAATAAATTAAACCTCTATTTGTTGTCAGCTGACAACTCTGATGAAAATAGAAACGAGATAGAAGCTGGAACTGGAGCCTGACAAATCCCTACTACTAGGAACAGTCCTGTTTCTAGAAGCAATTTGAAATGCAGCTAATGAATGGAAAAACAGTCAAATTAAATAATTTGATAAATTAAACGTTCAATCAAGTAATTGAAAGTTCAGTTGGAATGAAACCCAGCAGACACCACAATACCTTGGGACTACAGTTGAAAATCCCTGCCTTATACAAATACATGGAATTATTCAGATGACTGATTGACTGAAAACATGTGACTAATCAATTAAACCCTCCTTGAAAGACAAGCTGCACCTTAACAGGTGTGTGCAGTATGTAATTACCCCAGCTTCAAGGCTGTAGCCACTTGTACGGGCCCTTTATTCTTCCTTGATGTTTTACCAGCATTTGTTTAGGCAGATCTCTCTTAATGAGAGGAACATACTGCACAAAAAGGCTGAAACATTGTCATTGCTCTGATGTAAAACAAACAATTGTCATGTGCCAAGGTTGTCCCAGTATTTGGACAAAAGATGAGTTCATTTTGAGTCTGAGATTTCACTGAGTTGTGTTTGGATTTATTTATTGTAATTTTTCAACAAATTCTTTAAATATTTATGTTTGGACCGAACCCAACGAAAAGTCTGGGAATAGAACCAACTGGTGCAAGATTAATATTTAGTTTAAACCCACACTGACAAGAATGGCTCACTAACTACATGATGAGTACTCATTAAATGTCCATAACTCAGTTTGTCAAATTACTGATTTTTTAAATGGTATTGGCATCACAAGATTCAACATGACATAGCAATATCAGAGAAACCAAAGTCTGAAAATCCCAGCTTTCAAACATCATTTATTAGGTGCTAGAAATGAAACCTGAGACCCTTTCACAAAAAAACATAAACCAAAACAAGGTTTCTCCACAAGGAGAAACATTTCTTCACAAGGATGTCCGGTGTATCTTAAAATTACTAGCAGATATTTTTAAGAACTTTTTACTGTATTACTCAACAGTTTCAATGTATGTTTTAATAAGGCAAATGAAAACACCGGCTGTATACCTATACCTGATGTTTACAGCTTTAGTATATTGATGTCTCATACCTTCAGCATTTTTACAGTTGTACATACTCTTGCACATTAAGCAAAGCATCAGATAATTTCAGTTCACTGCTAAGAATTTAATAGTCTACCTATCTTTCACATTTAGTGTTCGTTTCTTTGTAAGATTCCAAATTCAGCTTCCAATTGGAACAAGTGAATAGTTCTACAATGGCAACATCTCCCCAGAACTACAGAAACTTTGTATAATCTACATGGTATAACTCTTCCCCACAAGTCTTATGCTCTTCTAAACTGATTTAGGAGACCCAGGAAACTTGCTGAATTGCAAACACTGATGGCCACTGCTGGGAGCACACAGTCTAGGATATTACTTTACAACCTCCTAGAATTTCATTCTTAAACAATTCACAAAGGAGAGTTCCCAAAATTTAATTCTAATTTTCCATTGTAATTATTGTATAGTTTTTGGAGTCTCATGTTGTTTATCTCCATTCTTAACTTGCACAAAGCATTTTTGTGTCAGCAACATAAATACAATTTTTGGTGACTTACTGTATAACTGTCTATTAGGGGGAAAGAGACATGTTAATAGAAGTGATGTATCTGTTTTACCACCACTGGCATACAGCTGATGAAAGTACCATTCAATCTGCTTATTAAAATGTCAGTTTGATTCATGATCTGCCTGTTAGAAAGAAAAATTAAAAGTTTATTCCAGGGTATTATTTTGGTAATAAATTTGATAATCTTCCATTGTGTGTGTTGTTTTGGGAAAACAATTCTTTGCACAGTACTCAGGCGCTTTGTATGCATACATTTTTCAGATTTTAAAAAGGGCCATACAGTCCTCCTTGAGATTTCAAAATGGTTTTCCATTTTCTTCTAACTGACATAATGCAGACTACTCTGTGATGCTTCCATGAGTAAATAGCCATGTATACCCTATTTTGAGTACCTAGTTTTAGTCTCAGATGAAATGTGAAGCCTTCCTTTTAAGAGTAAAAATACTCAGACTTCAATAAATCCAATGTATACTATTCTAATCATATTATAAGTATTACCTTTATCTATTAAATAATAATTCTATATATTTTCCACATAGAGTAAGACTACCTAAATAAAATTTTAATATTGTTACAAATGTATAGATTTTGATTACACCTCATTAGGACACTCTCATGTATTGCAGAAACAGAAATGAAGGGACTCCAAGCTCTTCATTAGTTTAAATGACTTCTTTCCTTCTAGTATTTGTAAAAAGAAAACTTCCATATTTTTGAAGGGTGCTTAATGCTTTTTTTAATCACATGTTTGTTTATGGGTTCCAAATTTATACTTATATTATATTATTTTCTTGTTAATATATTTAGAAAATGTTAAAAATGAAACAATCCACTTTCTGCAAATATCCCTGTGGTCATGGTTGACGATGTGGTTCGGGCTATGCTCAGAATTATAGTTTTGTTACTACCTTGCAATCTTTATGTACTACATGTTAATACTGTACATCTTATGACTTTGAGCCCTGGTAAAACCTGGATATTCTCATTAACATAGTTCATGTAGCATTGGTGGACCGGCACATAAACTATATTTATGAGAATTAAAAGATATACATACATCCAACACAATATTGAGAACATTAAACTAGAGCTTTATATAAAGAAACATGAAGATCACTGTGAGTGAGAGTAGCTCTCCAAAGTGTAACTGCCCACTTTAATAGTGTCCAACCTGAAACATTTTAAATAACCATTTGATTAAATAACCTTCCCATTTTAGAGCAGATTAGTTGTACAGCAGAAAAGTAGCTGTGCAGCACTTGATCAAATGACAGAGAAATATTTTAAGTGTTATGGACCCTTCGAAACATGGACCACTTACAGTGTTACAAAAGTTTATAAAGAAGACTGTCCATAGTTTTTTTCTCCACTTTATTCTAAGGTATTTCTAAGTTAAATAAGGCTTAGCTATCATGCAGAAAACTTTGTAATCCCGTTCTTCAAACTCTCTGGTAGTCTGAAGGACATTTTTCTCAGCTCCAGTAGAAGGAGCATGCATTAAATTCTGTTTGACACATTCTCTGCATCTTTGACTGTTTTCCAAACAATACTCACTTTTCAGTTCTCAGGTTCTTGTTTTGCTTCAGCCACAGCTTTAATATGTCCTTCACTTAATTAAAGGAATTACAGTACATCCTTACTATAGGGATTCACTCTCAGTAGTTTCAGAAAACACTGGAGAGCTCTTCTGTATTGTTGAAGCAGCTTGGTTCTGTTGGCTGTGTTTCAAGCAAGAGTTTGACAGTTCATACTTCTACCCCAGCTATTTTTTTTATTATACATGCTTGCCAAGCTATTCCTGACACCCCGCAGGACAACTGTTTCAGAATTAAGAATAGTAACTTCCTCATAAAACCTTCATGTGGCAACGTACGTAAAAACCTCTGTAACTCCTGGAAATACCACATAAAAGGTCAGTTTTTTAAGTCAACGTTTGCTTGGTCAACCTGAATGGTTTCCTCACTTTGTTCTTTTTAACTCAAAATAAAAATCTGATAACACTCTGAGAGCAAAACTAATGTTAATATTTGCACTTATCAGAGTATCAGAGTTGTTCCTGCTTTTGCAATTACTCTCAGGACCCTAAGAGGAAAGATTTTGGGGAAACACCTGTACAGTCCATGCTGTGCGTAGTCCCGTTCTGGTACATATTGTACGACATATGACTTAAGAAATATAGAAAAATAATTTCCGCATTTAATTTTATAATATTTTAACAAGTGAGAGATAATATTTACCACTGCTTAGCCCTGTCTTGAAAACCATGTTATACCATCATCAAATTAGTTATTGAAATCCACCTTGTAATCACATTGTTAAGCTTAATCCACAATTACTCATAACTGTGAGAGACTTTCCTATTTAATCAACCCAGTAGTGATTTCAGAAATTAGTAAACTCAAGAAAATGTTGTTTTTTTTATGCTGGTAGAAATCAGTTAAATTTTTTAATCCCATTTTTCTAGTTTTCAAAACAGAAATATAGCATCACTTTATTTTTCCTTACACAAAGCTTTAGGTATGATGTAGTTTTTAGATTTCCACACATTGTGCATGTCTTTTCCTAAATGATCTGTGGCCACGTTATGCCACAACTTTAACAAATAAAAAAATGTAGCATCATCATAATAATTTATTAAGTATATTAATATATTAAAACGTTTTATTATATTTTAGAATTTTCTTTTTAGAAAGCAATTCACACTTTTGCCTTTTCTCTTTTTTGTCCCTCCGATAACTGTAATTTTAGTATTGTAGGTGTATTTTCTTGGTAGAATAAATAACTCAAGGT